TAAATAACGGAGACATGAGAGGTATCCTCATGTCCGTGGTAGGTACAGTTGAAAAGGTATCCTGAGGCATGGATTGTACAGACCTCTAGGGGTATAATCCTGGTTCTACTATTAATCAGTTGTATGACTTTAGGCAAATTACCCTACCTCTATGGGTCAGTGTTATTTAATGGGAATGATAACATTTGCTCCTTCATCATAGAGTTGTTGTGAAGATTAAATGATTAAATGCATGTAAAGCATTTAGATGAGTTTCTGGCAGAAAGTATGTACTCGCTGATATTAGATATCATTACAATAACAGAATAATTGTTTCTGGGAAAAACACTTGAGAATTATGCCCTCTATTTCTATTGAATAAGGTATTAAATTACACACCTTTGTCCCTTTAAGTTCCTCAAATTGATTATTATTTTAAGTTGCTATTTTACGTTAGACTGAGACCATGCTACTTTTGAGGCCTTAAAATACTATAATTTAAAAATCATTTGCCAGTCTTTGCCAAGAGAATGCAATCTTTCCAGGAAATAGGAAACTTGGCAGTTTCTATTACAACCCGGGCAAAGTGAAGTAAATGGTATTAAAAAATCTTTGCAGCATATAGAAGCTAAAGATAAGCTGAAGAAACAGCTCTGCCAAGGCTGTAGCACAACTTAAAAGCAGGAGTGTCCAACTTTTTGGTTTCTCCAGGCCACAATGGAATAAGAGTTATCTTGGGCTACACATTAAATACACAAATGAACAAAAGCTGATGAGCAAAAAAAAAGTCTGTGCATAATTTTTGTGACACCTGCCACCACAGATAAGCAAAAAAAGTCCTCACAATTTAATAATCCTAATTATGGGGCAGCGCCTGTGGCTTGTGGGTAGGGCACCAGCCCCATATACCAAGGGTGGTAGGTTTGAACCCACCCAATTCTCTTGAACCCAAGAGAATTGCCTAAGCCCAGGAGTTGGAGGCTGCTATGAGCTGTGACACTACAGCACTCTACCAAGGGTGATAAAGTGAGACTCTATCTCTCTAAAAAAAAAATCCTAATTATGCAGTGGTCCATTCAGAGAGTCCAATCATCAAGCAGGTCCCAAGTTTGCAATCACTAATATAGAAAAAATATATATCTAAATAATAAAACATCTTTGGGATTTTAAAAAATACTTTTATTATAAAAGTAAAAGAAAAGTGGGTAACAAGGCCAAGCACTGTGGCTCACGCCTATAATCCTAGCACTCTGGGAGGCTGAGGCTGGTGGATCACCTGAGTTCAGGAATTCAAGAATAGCCTGAGCAAGAGTGAGACCCCCGTCTCCACTAAAAACAGAAATATTAGCCAGACGTTGTGGCAGGCATTTGTAGTCCCAGCTACTGGGGAAGCTGAGGCAATAGAATCTCTCGAGCCCAGAGTTAGAGGCTGCTGTGAAGTATGACACCATAGCATTATACCCAGGGCAACAGAATGACACTCTGTCTCAAAAAAAGAAAGAAAGAAAGAGAAAGAGAGAGAAGGAAGGAAGGAAGGAAGGAGGGAAACATAAGATTAGTGGAATATCTGACATTGTATTTGAGAAACTAATGCATCAATATCTGGTTTGATAGAAGTATTTCAGTTCTCAGTGAGTTCTCAAGGTGCTCATCACATATTTTGGTTCTAATTTTACTCTTAATGTGCACAAATGTAGGTGCTACTAAAAAACAATGACATGAATAAGGCATGATTGCGAAAAGGGATATTTGTCTCTGGACAAACAGAAGTCCAGTAAAGAGACATGATCCATTTTTTTCTTTAAGTTGAATGACAGATTACAGCTCTATGCATTCCATTTGAAAATTGGCAGGTAACATATTTATGTCAACTGAAAATGGAGTCTCAAATGCACCAAGTATTGGATAGTTTCCCAAAAACCTTGAAATGTTTTCAAATTCTTGTATCAAATCAAAAAACAAGGCTGCATATTTTTCACTGTTCACTGTGGTTAGCCAACATGTCAAAATGCATAAAATTATTTGCCTTAATTTGAGCTTGTCATAATTTCAGTTTTAGTTGGAATGCTGTCACGGTTTAAAACATTGTATTGAGAAGGTGGTTGTAATCTTGAAGACACATGTTTAACTCATTTAAATGAGTGGTTAAATCCACTAAAACTGCTAAATTTATAAGCCAGTTTTCATCGTCAAGTCGTGGCACACATTTGATTTCTGATACCAAAAATGACTGAATAAACATGTTGCAAATCATAAAATCTTTTTAACGTTTGGCCTTGACTTAGCCATCATATTTCTGAAAAGAAAATGATGTTGCCATATTCAGGATTAATACTTTCTAGAATTGGTGATAATTCAATCCCTTTTCCCTTATGAAATTCACAGTCTTGATTTGCATGATGTTATCCATTTTCAAAGCTTTGCATGTGAATTTTCTTGATGTACTAAGCAGTGATATTTCACCAAACGTGAGATTTGGGCAGCAAACGCATCATCTTCTATTAATTTTACAAGTCCCTCTCTTTTACCTACCATTGCTGGAGTACCATCAGTAACTATACCAGATATGTTGACAATGGACAAAGTAAATAGCGTTAACATATTTTTTATGCTTTGAATAAATAACTTGATTTAGATGAGTCTTCTAAAGGCACTAAAGAAGCCATTTCTTTAGTGACATTATATTTATCATCAATACCTCTGATAAAAGTGGCAAGTTGACCTGTATTTGTAGCACCAGTGCTGTCACCCATAACCAAAACAGAAAATTGAAAATTAGCAGCTTTACTCTCCAAACTTCTTTCAATAGATTTTCCAATTTCTTCAATTCACCTGGCTATAGGCTAGTGAGACAAACTGATTTTAGAAATATCCACCTTTTTCTCAGGGCAAATTATATCTGCAATGCTTTCCATACATTGCTTAATAAATTCACCATAGTAAATCATTTTGATTTGGGGGTGCGGGGGCAGGGCCAGGTTTGAACCCACCACCTCCGGTATATGGGGCTGGCGACCTATTCCTTTGAGCCACAGGGGCCACCCTGATCATTTTGATTTTTTTGCTATTACAAATCCATCTGAGTTGTAACTTTTTTTAAAAATTCTGTTGAGCAGACTTTTTCCAGTTCTGTTGTTTTGTCCTTATGACATAATTCTTCCTAGGCGTCCTCAAACTATGGCCTTCGGGCCACATGCAGCGGGCCTAGGACATTTATCCAGCCCCCCACTGGGTGTTTTCCCTGCTGCTGTCTGTCCTGCTTAGCAGCTGGCTCGCCCCGGGCCCACAGACTGTCCCTCCAACGGTCTGAGGGACCGTGAACTGGCCCCTTGTTTAAAAAGTTTGAGGACCCCTGCTTATACTCATCAAATTTGGAGGCATGTTTTGCCTATAATGTCTTTTCAAATTCTAGTCTTTGAAAACTTGCACAAATTCCCTACAAATTAAGCAGAGTGCATTACTATTTGCTTCAACCAAAGAGTAGTTATCTGCCCACTTTTCATTGAACAATCTTCTTTCATCTCTAATTTTTCTTTTTTAGGGTTCCGTTTTCTTTTGAGATATTGTGGAAACCATGCTGGGATTTAAAATAACAATACATAAGGGATTATATTTACTTTTATTATGAAAATTAATTGACAGGAAATAGCAAGGTTTGGGTCCTTCCTCATCTTGTCTGCTGATGCAGAGTGAGGCAGAGGGCCAATTGTAAAGCACTGCAGGCAATATGTGTGTGAAAATACCTTAATAATCAAATAAGAATGCTTACCTGACTTCTAAGTAACATTAAATGCCTATTGTTGCAATGGTAGATTGAAATTTATTTTTATTTTTTTTCTTTTCTTTTTTGACACAAAAAAGGGTGCTATGGCATCATAGCTCACAGCAACCTCAAACTCTTGGTGTCAAGCAATTTTCTTGCCTCAGCCTCCAGAGTAGCTGGGACTGCAGGCATGTGCAACAACTACCCAGCTATTATTTTTAGAGACAGAATCTCGCTAATGCTCAGGCTGGCTTTGAACTCCTGAGCTCAAGAAATCTGCTTGCCTTGGCCTACCGGAGTGCTAGGATTACAGTGTGAGCCACCACGCTTGGCATAAAATATTATTGATATTACTGCCTCGCCAAGTCCCCACAAGCACATGTAACATCTGATGGTGTCAATTCAACTGTCCACCTTTGGAAGATAACACACTGGAAGCTACACACCTCTATAGAATTGAAGTCATGCATGTGTACAAATATCGAGAGCAGGGCAGTGCCTTTGGCTCAGTGAGTAGGGTGCCAGCCCCATATACTGAGGGTGGTGGGTTTGAACCCGGCCCCAGACAAACTGCAACAAAAAAATGGCCAGGCATTGTGGTGGGTGCCTGTAGTCCCAGCTGCTTGGGAGGATGAGGCAAGAGAATCACCTAGGCCCAAGAGTTGGAGGTTGCTGTGAGCTGTGACGTCACAGCACTCTACCGAGGGCAATAAAGTGAGACTCTATCTCTAAAAAAAAAAAAAAGAAAGAAAGAAAATGTTGAGAGCATATGTATGTTTATTTTATATGACATTTTGACATGACATTGTCATCTATGAAGTTCAGGCTCAAGAACCACACTATCAAAAAAAATAATAAGAAGAACCGCACAATCAAGTTCCACCAAAAAAATTTCATCATGTTTTAATTATTTTGTGTTGGGCTGCATTTATAGCCATCCTAGGCGGCATGTGGCCCATGGGCTGCAGGTTGGACACCCTTGACTTAAAGCAATTGTGGATACAACCTGAGGAATATCTACATAGGTTTCTTGGGGCTAAGGCCAGTCAATTCATGAGGACTGAATGAGCATAGCATCAGCAGTAGCTGGCATTGTAAGTGCCTATAGGTTTTTTCTCTTGTTACCTTTAGAGATATCCCTCTTCTTAGCCCCAACTCGATGCAGAAGACAGAAAATGTCAAGAGTAGGGATGGCAGATATGCCAAGGGAAAAAAGAGATGATTAGTAAAGGCCAAGCAGGATCCCAAATATACATACTTTCCATAAGAAGTATCTTTTAATACTAATTCTGGAGCTCTATACCAGCGTGTGGCCACATAATCCGTATAAATGTCCCCTGGAGCTGCTAGTGTTCGTGCAAAACCAAAATCACAGAGCTTTGTAATTCCTGACTGGGATACTAAAATATTCTCAGGTTTTATATCTCGATGAATGATCTAAAAAACAAACAGAATATGAAATATATTAAAATGAGACTTTATGAGAATCTCTCAAAAATTATACAGCAAAACTCTTACTAATTAGGGTAGTGGAGTTATTTCCTTACCACATGCAAAGGGTCAACTACACAATACAAACATATGCTTTCAATTTTTGCTCCATTCATCACCTCAAAATGCAATGAGGCCAAGAAAATAGACATAATACTAAAAAGGCAAATCACATTCCTATAAGGAAAATCAAAAAAACTTAGTGAAAGAAACGAAACTTTTCTTTAACCCCATGTCCCACTCCAGTTACTGCCCTTTCTCTCAGATCCTTCACAACTAAACCATTGGAAGACATTGTTTGTACTCAGTCTTCACTTTCTGACCACTCAGTCACAGTAGATAATGCCATCTCATTTTCTGCTTCCACACTGCATTAAGCTTCACTAGCCAAAGTCATCTACATTTTTGCTACATTAATAGACACTTTTCAATCCCTATCTCAATTGATTTCTTAGTATAAAAAATATTGCCAACTACTTCTCTATTCCTAGTTTCTAGGACTTAAAATTCTCCTTCCATCTCCCTGGCAGGTCTTCTTTCTCTGTTCGTCCTTTAAATGCAGGGTTCTGGTTTTAGGCTTTTCCTTTCTTCTCATACATTGTTTTCTGGTCAACTCATTTACTCTGTTTTTGGACCACTTTCATCATTTGGTTACAGGGACAACACATTCCCTCAGGCTTCTTCCCACCTATTGGCTGCTCCATCTCAATATCTACTCTTTTGTTTTAATTATTATTTTTAATATTTTATTTATTTTAATTGATAAATTAAAATTGTATATATTTACTACGGACATGTTTTGAAATATCTATGTATATATTGTGGAATGGCTAAATCAAGACAATTAACATATGTATTACTTTACATAATTTTTTTTTTGTAAAAACACTTAAAGTCTACTCTCTTAGCAATTTTCAAGATTAAAATACATTGTTATTGGCCAGGCATGGTAGTTAACACCTGTAATCCTTGCTCTCTGGGAAGCCAAGGCAAGTGGATTGCTTGAACTCAGGAGTTCAAGACCAGACTGAGTAAGAGCAAGACCCTATCGCAAAAAAATAGCTGGGTGTTATGGCAAGCACCTGTAGTCCCAGCTACTCTGGAGCCTAAGGCAGGAGGATAAATTGAGCCTAGGAGTTTGAAGTTGCTGTGAGCTATGATACCACGACACTCTACCCAAGGCGACAAAGTGAGAATCTGTCTCAAAAATCCAATATATTGTTATTAACTATAGTTATCATTTTATACAATGGATTTTTTCTTTCTCTTTTTTGAGACAAAGTCTCACCATGTTGCTCTCAATAGAGTGCTGTTGCATCACAGCTCACAGCACTCTCAAACTCTTGTGCTTAAGTGATTCTCCTGCCTAAGCCGCCCAAGTAGCTGGGACTACAGGCACCTGCCACAATGCCTGGCCATTTTTTGTTGCAGTTGTCATTGCTGTTTAGCTGGCCCAGGCCAGGTTCAAACCCACCAGGCTTGATGCATGTGGCCGGCGCCATAACCACTGTGCAATGGGTGTCGAGCCTATATAATGGATTTCTTAAGCTTATTCTTAGCTATCTGAAATTTCATATCCATTATCCAGCATCTCCCCAATCCCTGGTAACCACTATACTCTGTACTTACGAGTTCAGTGTTTAATTACATTCCATATATTAGTGAAATCATGCCATATTTATCCTCCTGTGCCTGACATACTTCACTTAACATAATGTCTTCTGTGTTCATCCATGTTATCACAAATGACAGGATTTTTTTTTCTTTTTTATGGCTGTATAGTGTCCCATTGTATATACATACCACATTTTTGGCTGGAGGCAGTGGCCTCTGGAAAGCCAAGGTGAGTGGATCCCTTGAGCTCTGGGGTTCGAGACCAGCCTGAGCTGAGCAAAGCAAGACTCAGTCTCTACTAAAATAGAAAAACTAACTGGGCATTGTGGCAGGCACCTATAGTTCCAGCTACTCAGGAGGCTAAAGCAAGAGGATCTCTTTAGCCCAAGAGTTTGAGGTTGCAGTGATGTATGATATCATGACACTCTACCCAGGGCCACAGTGAGATTCTGTCTCAACAACAACAAAAAAACCACACTAGATTTCCTTTATTCATTCATCCTTGATAAACACTAGGTTGATTCTATACCTTAGCTATTTATTGTAAATAATGCTGCAGTGAACATGGGAGCACAGATACTTCTTTGACATACTGATTTCATTTCCTTTGGATATATATCCAGTGGTAGAATGCTGGATGATATGGTAGTTCTATTTTCAATTTTTTGAAGAACCTCCACACTATTGTCTATAATGGCTGTATTAATTTACATTCCCATGAACAGTGTGCAAAGGTTTCCTTTCCTCTAGATCCTCTCCAAAATTTATCTTTCACCATTTATTTATTATTTATTTATTTATTATTATTTTTTGAGACAGAATCTTACTATGTCACCCTTGGTAGAGTGTTATGGTATCCCAGCTCACAGCAACCTCAAACTCTTGGGCTTAAGCAATTTTCTTGCCTCAACCTCCTGAGTAGCTGGAACTATAGTGCTTGCCACAATGGGACTATAAGTGCTGACCACAGTGCTCAGCTATTTTTTTTGTTGTTGTCATTGTCATTGTTGTTTGGCAGGCCCAGGCTGGGTTTGAACCTGCCAGCCTTGGTGTATGTGACCAGCACCCTAACCACTAAGCTATGGGTGCTGAGCCTATCCTTCACCTTTTAAAAATTCTTCTGGCTTGGAGCCTGTGGCTCAAGCGGCTAAGGTGCCAGCCACATACACCTGAGCTGGCGGGTTCAAATCCAGCCTGGGCCTGCTAAACAACAATGACGGCTGCAATCAAAAAATAGCCACGTGTTGTGGTGGGCGCCTGTGGTCAGAGGCATGAGACTTGCTTGAGCCCAGGAGTTGGAGGTTGGTGTGAGCTGTGATGCCATAGCACTCTACCCAGGGTGACAGCTTGAGGCTCTGTCTCAAAAAAAAAATAAAATTCTTCTTAGAGACAAGGTCTCACTGTCTCCAAGACTAGAGAGCTGTAGTGTGATCACAACTCACTACATCTTTGAACTCTTGGATTCAAGCAGTCCTCCTATCTCTGCCTCCCAAAGTACTGGGATTACAGGCATGAGCTACCACACCTTGCCTCTTTTATCTTTTGGATAATAGCCATTTTAACAGGTATAAGATGATATTCTGTCATTTTAATTTGTACTTTTCTGATTAGTCATTTTGAGCATTTTTTCACATTCCTGTGTGGCCATTTATACGCCTTCTTTTGTAAAATGTCTACTTAACCATTTTAAAATTACTTTTAATTATTATGAATATTTAATAGTCATACATATTTATGGGACACATGTTACATCTTGATACAGGAATATGATGTGCAATAATCAAATCAATTTCTTCCAACTCCCACATATGAGTGAGAATGTGGTTATTTTTTGTCTTTTTGTGCCTGGTTTACTTCACTAACATAACGTCCTCCAGTTTCACCTGTATTGTTGCAAATGACAATTTTTATGGCTGAAAAGTATTCCATTGTGTATATATACCACATTTTCTTTATCCCTTGATCTACTGATGGACATTTAGGTTGATTTCATATCTTAGCTATTGTCAAGAATGCTGCAGTAAACACGGGAGTACAGCTATTTCTTTCACATAATGATTTCCTTTATTTTGGATATATACCCAGCAGTCATATGGTAGTTCTACTTTCAGTTTTTGTTTTGTTTTGTTTAGACAGATGACAGGCTAGAGTCCCTGACTGTCTGTCAGCCTTGCTCACAGCAAACTCAAACTCCTGGGTTCAAGTGATCCTCCTGCCTTAGCCTCCTGAGTAGCTGGGACTGCAACTGCCTACCACAATGTCCTGCTAATTTTTTTATTTTTAGTAGAAACAGAGTTTTACTCTTGCTCAGGTTGGTCTCAAACTCCTGAGCTTCGGCCTCCCAGAATGTGAGGATTTCAGGTTGGGAGCCACAGTGCCCGACCCTATTCTTAGTATTTTGAGGAACCTCTATTCTGTTCTCCATAGTAGTTGTACTAATCTACATCCCCATCAGCAGCATACAAGGGTTCCTCTTTCTCCAGCATACATTATTGCTCGTCTGTTGGTTAAAAAACATTTTACCTGGGTGGGGACTGTGGCTCAAAAGGGTAGGACACCGGCCCCATATGCCAGAGGTGGCGGGTTCAAGCTGAGCCCCAGCCAAAAAAAAAACATTTTAACTGGGCGGTGCCTGTGGCTCAATTTGTGGGGCAACGGCCCCATATACCAAGGGTGGTGGCTTCGAGTCCCACCCTGGCCAAACTGCAACAAAAAAATAGCCAGGCATTGTGACAGGCACCTATGGTCTCAGCTGCTCGGGAAGCTGAGGCAAGAGAATCGCCTGGGCCCAGGAGTTGGAGGTTGCTGTGAGCTATGTGAGGTTGTGTGATGCCTCAGCACTCTACCGAGAGTGATAAACTGACAGTCTCTACAAAAAAAAAAAAACAACAACAAAACATTTTAACTGGAGCCAGGTACAGTAGCTCACACCTGTAATCCTAGCACTCTAGGAGGCCAAGGTGGATAGATTGGTTTAGTTCAGAAGTTCAAGACCACCCTGAGTAAGAGCAAAACCCTGTCTCTAGTAAAAACAGAAAAACTAGTTGAGTGTTGTAGCAAGCACCTACAGTTCCAGCTACTCGGGAGGTGAGGCAAGAAGACTGCTCAAGTTCCAAAAGTTTGAGGTTGCTATGACCTATGATGCCACAGCACTCTACCCAAGGTAACAGTGAAACTCTGTCTCAAAAACAAACAAAAAAAAACTTTTTTAACTGAGGTGAGATATACCTCATTGTACTTCTGATTTGCGTTTCTCTGAGGATTAGTTATATTGAACATTTTTTCACATACCTGTTGACCCTTTATATGTTTTCTTTAGAGAAATGTCCGTTTACTGCGACAGAGTCTCACTCTGTCACTTAGGCTGTAATGCAATGGCAAAATCCTAGCTTACTCGAACTCTCAGGCTCAAACTGTTCCTCCCACCTTATCCTCCTGAGCAGTTGGGACCATGGGTGTGTATCATCAGGCCTAGCTAGGGTTTTTTTATTTTTGGGAGCCTGTTGCCCAAGCTAGTCATGAAGTCCTGACCTCATGAGATCCTCCCAAAGTGCAAGGATTACAGGCATGAGACACTGTGCCTTGCCTCCACTGCCCATTTTTGAGGAACTGTATTTAAGGGTCGCAGCATTAGGAAGTTGAGAACCACTGCTCTATAGTATAATCTGATTCATAATATTTCTGTTGTATATAGATATGTGTTTGAATTTAAATACCCATCAAAGAAGAGAGTTCAAATCTCCACAACCTCCAACAATCTTAGAGACACGGGGTTGTAAGTCACCCAAAGCTTCAATTTAATAAACTTTTCAATCTGATGTTATGCAATTACCCAGGCTAGAGTACCAGTGCTTGAGATTGGACTCAAGCAATCTCCTGCCTCAGCGTCCCAACTACAGGTACAAGCCACCATGCTTGGCTAATTTTTCTATTTTTAGTAGATATAAGATTCTCATCTTGCTCAGACTTGTCTAAAACTCCTGACCTCAAGCAATCCTTCCATGCCACTATGCCTGGCTAATTTTTTTATTTTTTGTAGAGATGGGGTCTTGCCATGTTGCCCAGGCTGGTCTCAAACTCTTGGCCACAAGCAATTCTCCCACCTTGGCCTCCCAAAGTGCTGGGATTACAGGTCTGACCCTGTCTGACCCTCTAAACATAATCACTGATACTGCCTTTAGCATTCCATACTCAGTCTGCCCTATATTCATAATATTGTGTTTAGTAAATGTTTTTTAGTTCTACAACTGAATTGTAAGGTAGTACTCCCAACTCCCATTTTCAGGATATCTATATGGTACAGAAAAAGAATTATGGCAACCCTCCTAAAAATAAAACAATAGTTAAAGGGACACTTAAGATTTATATTCATCCTATAATTTGGCTTACTCTGAAGCACTTACATTATTACCATGAAGATAGTCAATTGCTCGAAGGATCTGGAAGAGATATTTTCTAAGTCGTTTACTCTCTAGTCCATGACAATAATGCTGTAACTCATCTAATACTGTGTGGTCAATAAATTCAAATACTAAATGAATTTTCTTCTTCTGTCTAAAAACTTCAATCAAATTGACCAGGTTTTCATGACGAAATTGCTATTAACAAAAGAAACAAATTTTTAATAAATTATTTCAAGTATAATAATTTAGACTTATAACACCTATCTACTTTTGAAAAGAAACAGAAACAGAAATATTTTCAGTTATTCTTCCATGCATTTCAGTTGAAATTATTTTTGTTGTTGTTGTTTTTGAGACAGAGTCTCACTTGGCCATGCTGGTAGAGAGCTGTGGCATCACAGCTCAGAGCAATCTCAAACTCTTGGGCTCAGGAAATTCTCTTGCCTCAGTCTCCCAAGTACCTGGGACTACAGGCGCCTGCCACAACACCTGGCTATTTCTTTTTTTTTAGAGACAGGTCTTGCTCTTGCTCAGGCTAGTCTCAAACTCCTAAGTGCAAGTAATCCACCAGCCGTGGCCTCCCAGAGAGAATTACAATTACAGGCATGAGCCACTGTGCCCAGCTCACATTCATAAGAAAATTTTAATCCATTTCATGATCATATTTATGGAACAAATGAAAATGTATTACTTTACCGCAAGTTGGCATCTGATAGCTTATTTTAAAAATTTAGAGATAATATACTATAATGAAAATAATAATGCTGCAAAGAGATATCCTATCTTTTAACTTGCTTTGTGACTAAATTTAACAACTGAATTTAAAAGGTTCTATGTTTTCAAATGAGTATGGATTTCAACACCACTGAGTATGTGATCTAAATTTATGCAACTTATTCTCTAATTTTGATGTTAAACTCTAGAAAGTAAGTCAAAAGTTTTAGGAAGACACTATCAATTTGCTAGACTATAACAAAAAAAGCATTTTTTTTTTTTTTTTTTTGAGAAAGAGCCTCAAGCTGTTGCCCTGGGTAGAGTGCAGTGACATCACAGGTCACAGAAACCTCCAACTCCTGGGCTCAAGTGAGTCTCCTGCCTCTGCCTCCCAAGTAGCTGGGACCACTGGCACCCGCCACAATGCCCGGCTATTTTTGGTTGCAGCCGTCATTGTTGTTTGGCGGGCCCGGGCTGGATTCGAACCCGCCAGCTCAGGTGTATGTGGCTGATGCCTTAGCCGCCTGAGCCACAGGCGCCGAGCCAAAAAAGCATCTTAATATCTAGAAAATTGTCACATATGTGAAATAGAAATTTATAATCACAAGAACTTTATATAAATATATAATTATTTGTGGGTAAATTTTATTCATTGTACCATTCTGTTAAACAACTAAACACCTTTTTAGACTAGTAACATTAATTTTAAAATGTTGAAAATGGCCATACATCAGCTTAGAAAACAAATGAGGTATGATATTTTATGCTTTTGTTTTTTTAGAGACTCACTTTATCGCCCTCCGAAGAGTGCCGTCAGACAGCTCACAGCAACCTCCGACTCCTGGGCTTAGGTGATTCTCTTGCCTCTCCAGTAGCTGGGACTACAGGCACCCACCACAATGACCGGCTATTTTTTTGTTGCAGTTTGGCCAGGGCTGGGCCGTCACACAGCTCACAGCAACCTCCAACTCC